GTACCAAACTTGAAAAGAACCGCTCCATGTTCCTGTTTCTCTTTGAAATCTCAAGCAGTTCTGCAGACACAAGAACAGCTCACCTGGCAGCATTTTAAGAAATGGCTAAAAACGTCACATCGTGCAACGACACCACGAAGAGAAGGGAGATTTTAATGCACGCGTTTTGTGGGCTCGTGCACTAGATATTAATACATGAAGCTATCAAATTAGAGAAGGTGCAGCAGCATTGCAAGTCCAACGCTCTTTTACGCATTCATCAACTGGAGATTAACAACCCTACAGGGAAGGTGCACAGGCTCTGTTTTGAGGCCTAAGTGCCAGCAAGAGGGCTTTGATTTTACTAGCAGCTAAAACCCCAGAGCTGTTGTGCATCAGACTGACAAAGAGAACGTAAGGAAGTTAAATACCCTCAACGATAGCATCAAATGTCAAAGTACTGCAAAAGAGATGGTAATTACAAAGAAAAAAAAAAATCAGCCTCCTGAAAGTCTACTTGATTACACTCGTTTTTAATTGACAGTGGAAATACAGACAGAATAATTAAAACCTGGAAAATTTTAACACACCTGACATTTGCTGACAACTGTTCACAAACCAACATGGTGTTTTATAAACGCATGGGAAAAATCTCAGACCTAAAGAACAAGGACCAGGCCACAAAAGCCATTAATGTAGCTAATGAACGTGTAATTAAAGCATGGAGCACAGACACAAGAACTTCTGGGGTTATCAGGCAGCAAAGTATACGTAAAGGTGTGCCAAGTGCTGGACAAGTTCTGTTAGCTGGTGGCTACAGCCAACAATTTTGCAAGGAGCTGGGGATTCTGGACAAAAAGAGGCGCTTTGTTTGTCCTCAACCAACACTGAGCAGGGGGAAATTTTTTAGACCACATGTTGGGCAAGAGCAAGAATTCTAACTGGAAAAAGTGTTTCACCATATCAAGAGTTTCATTTGTGCTTTAACTTCCAAGAATTCCAACGTCTGTAAATCAGAGGGATCTGGCTGAATAATTTCTCCACGCACCTGCACAAAAGCTAAACCCCCAGCACTTCAGCAAGGTCAGGCTGGGGTTTAGATATTTAAGAAACTGTAACCCGAGTTATATTATACCGGAGCTTCTACACAAGTCTCAGCATACCTACAACTTTTAAGCTCTCTGCTACAGAGATATTTATAACTGGTTTTCCTTGTTCCCAGCTTTCACCTACTGGTGCTCATGGAACTTCAGGAAAAAAGTAATTTAATTCATGAAGACAATTTCAATTCAGAAAGTAGTCTCTGCAGTAGTATTTTGTTTGGAAAAGGGTTAAATAGTAATCCCTTCAGAAAAAAAATCCAAGCTTTTTCAAGAGCAATTTTAATTCAGTCCATATTAATGGAATGCAGAAAAAATCTTATTTTGAGAAAAAAATTAAAATCCATTTATAATGTTTAGAAACCTGACCGATACTGATCTGTAACAAAAATTTACAGCTTGGAACTCCTCCTCTCAATCTGAGACAGTGCCTAAAGATCAAATTCAAAGTAATCACAGAGGAAAAACAAGCACAGAATAAACATTACGATTATAAAAACAAGGTTCTAACTAGCCACTTCCAGTCTTCCCAGCTTTCTATAGAAGTTATGCTAAGTTTCTATAATTTGACCTTACCTGGATAAACTCATTGTCCTTAGATTTGAAAATGGGAAGTTCTTTTTACAGTAAGTAGTGAGTTCTGTGGCGTTTAGTCGCTGTTTTCTTTCACTTAAACTTTATAAATGATTTACTAATGCCAAACAGCTCCACTAGGACTCTGGACTGAGCTATCTCATCATTCTGAGTGGACTTTCTGTACAATGGGAGTACAGAATGCTACAGGACATCGCTTGATCCAATTTGAGTTCTTCCCATTTGTAGCTGTTTAACTAATCCATAGCCTCCTCATTGACGTAAAAGCCAATAGCGAAAAGGAAACCTTTAAAAATACCCATCACCAGCAGTTCTTGCAGTAAACAGGAACAAGAATAGTTCCCTGTGTTCAGAGCACAAGTCCTTGTCAACAAAGTGCCACTGTGCTAAAATGCTGATTCAAACTGTTCTGAAACGACAGTGCAGCCAGCATCAAATTTCTGTATTAAAGTGTAGTATCTCACGAGAAAAGGCACACGGCATAGGATAGCCGCTAATTAGAACTCACACAACTAAGGCAGGATTGAACAACAGGTCTGGCTAAAATTAATTAAAACCAGACAAGGTTTGCTAGCTTATTTACCAAATGAAGAACCCAACTCGAAAAAGAAAGCCTAGCAAGCCCGAGCTCACATTCTTCTCCCAACACGCAAGCTAGTCTAACCGCAGGGCTTAATGTCGTGGCTTTAGTTGCAAAGACACGATGCTCCAACACAGATAAGCGGGCCAAAGAACAGGTATTGCTGCTTCTCAAATAAAAGTTAATCACTTAGTCGTGAACAGAGTGGAATGCCTCAGATTAAATGCAAATGAAAGCACTCTAACTCATTTTTTTTCTTTTGATACATTGTCATTTGCACTGCAAAAATTACATCTAGCTCATCTTCAAAGGAGAGACAGTCTCATAAACCACAAGAGGACGAGGTGGTTCTAGAAGCTGCCTTCCATTCTTGGCCAAGAACCACACAGATACAAACTCCCTGTAAGTTGTATTGCCATTAGGCTGCAGAACATGAACGTGAGAGAAGACATGCCAGGTGACACAATGGCATTAGTCACCCCTCCTTCCAGTTACTCTTTTCCTCCTCCAAAAGTTACTACCCTCATACCCAAATGAGCAGAATAAACCCCCCAAAACAGAGCACCCCAGCTGCCTCAGGGCGAAGCCCAGCACACTAGCAGAAGCTGGAACAGCAGCCAGGTTGAGCTAAACTACCAAACTCTGAACTGGCTGCAGCACAAGGGGCAGCAATCTTCAGCAGGTATCAAAGCCCTGCAGCTACCTGCTAAGTCTAAAACCTCTCTGGAGCTCAAGCTCTCCTTTATAGCCAATCTCTCACGAACTACTGACAAATATAACCCCATTTTGCAAGAGGTCAGATGACTTAAAAGTCCTGCCTCAAAAATGCACCTAAGTATGGGTTCCGGAAAATCAGCATTAAGAAATCATACAGTCCAATTTTATCTCTTAGCGCGACTGCCAATTTGGAATCGCTGTGCACATCGAGAGCAACTGATCCAACGGAAAGCTGCATCTTGAACTGTAGGTGGTGCAGATAAATATACACTCGTGGAAAGGCTGCCAAGAAAACGGCTGCTTATTACACAAAAAAAAGCCAGGATAAACAGAAAAGACTGATTAAGAATTTACTTTTCATGAAATTAAGACATTGAAACTTGATGTCTTAATTGAGTCATTGCGACTTGAAACTGAAGTGTTGTGCCATGAAGTTTTACCTAAGCCTCTATGCTGAAATTGCAATAAACCAATTTTTGTCTCATTACTGCACTTTGAAGACCAAAAAGTTCTCCATTTACCTGTTCTGTTCCTCAAGTTTAGCGAGTAACTCCAAGTCGTCTGGACTCAGTTGTGTTGGTGAGGAGGGTGACAAGGCAGGTGTAGACAGCGTGGTAGAGGAGGATGTAGTGTGTAACGAGGCAGATGGACTTGCCACCTGACTGGCCATTTGACTGACGGTGTGCGATACAGTGTTCTTCACCCATGAGAGAGTAGAGCTCAGCTTTCCTGCAACCTTGTCTGTCGCCACCTGTGATGACAAAAAGCAGAGAATACAATAGTTGTCGTCTTTTAATACCTTTTTTTCCCAGTAAACCTGCTGCACTGAACAAAGGAAAAAAAAACAACCACACAACACCCATGAAGTCACATCAAGATGACTTATTTCTCCAGAACACCCAGGGCTGTCAGAAGCAACACAAGCATCAACAGCAATACGACATTATAGAAGTAGTAGCGTGCAAGTATGCTGCTAATCCACAGAGAAGGACCTGGAGGAATTCCTGATGTATACTCACAGAGCTCATTTCTGCAGTACAGAAATGCCACAGGATCCAGGATCAGCTCAGATGTCCCATTACAAAAATTAATAGAAATAAAAGCTTATTTTAAAACATCTTGATAAACTAATAACAACTCAAACTGTAGAAAATTAGAAACTGTCAACTACTTTACTAGTGGACACTGAGGCAGTAGGAGCATACCAGTGTAAATCCTCCAGACCACCCCCTGCTGACCTTCATTAACCCCCACTGTGGCGGGGCAGAGGAGCAAGGGCACCACGTTTCCGATCTACGCCACACCAAAAGATCCTCTAGCCTCCGCCAGCGTGCAGAAGTCAAAGACTTCGTGCCCATGAACGTACAACAGCTCCCAAATGTCTTGCATTACGGCCTTCTCCGGCTCCAGCTCTTCTCCGTCCTCACCTTCTCTTCAGGTCACCCTTACACCAAGTGTCCTCGACCCCTGATCCCACTGCCAGCGCCTGGGGTTTGAGAGGGGTCCTGCAGCTAAAGTCAGCGGTGCTGCTAGAGCAGAAGGGAGCTCTGAGCAGGCAGCAGAGGAAGCCGCAGGTCTCCAGGAAGGAGGAGGTTAACTGGTGCTGATCATAATCTGCTGCTACTTCTTGACCCGCATCACCAGGTAATGCAGCCCAACAGACTCACTGATGACTAGAGAAGAACAAGCAGCCCCAGAGGTATCTTCTAATGAACCCCTCCCTAGAACTTCCTTCCGCAACTGAAAATGTAAGAGACTTTGACCTACAGCAGTTCACGACAGAGTTCCAATTCTTCCCCAGCCCAGCCTAGAGAAAATCGAGATGCACCTTAAAGGAAGAGCGAGCTGCCTAGAAAAGGTTAAAACTTTTCCAAACCAAGGTCGAAGAGGAACTTCCTTTGAAGTGGTGCTGCTGGCAACTATTTATTTTGACCTTTGCTGACTTCCTCAAAACACTGAATTGCTCAATGGTTGTCACAAGCAATTCTGCAGTACAGCCTATACAGTAATTGCTAAGGTACTAAAGACACTGAGCCACGGGGAAAAATCCCTCCCCAAGATCCTCTAATAGAATCTAATTAAAGCAGAATTTCAACTGGAAAGAGTAACGCCATCTCAGCACGCTGTGCATTTATCTCTAGCACAGTACGCAGACCGAGTGACTGGTTGCTGAAGCAGGAGCTTTTCTTTAGACACAATGCTATAATGAACTTTTTTGTGAATCAAATCCAGCAGTATTTTATTTTCACATCATATCGAAAGGAAGACACACCAAATACCTTCAGGAAACAAGAGGAACACACTACAGGTCAAACACAAAAGCGTGGTACTCAATCTCCCCACCTCCTCTCCGCTGCAACATGACACGTCAGAGCTCTCCGAGAGGACTGTGAAGAGGTTTCCAATTTCCATATGCTTAGCATTCATTCCGGAAACCGTAACAGATTTTGCTCGAAATCTTCAGAGGCAGGGATACAAACCACAGGTGGGAACAGCAAGGTCCAACATAAGCGTCAGACTGGTCCCAGTTGGTTCTTATGTCACTATTGGACAGGAAAGCTCAGGTAGATCAATATTTTTAAAAAAATAAACCCAACACATGATCTTCTAAAGATAATCTTTGAAAAAATCACTTCCAATATTAGCACTTGACACTATCTTTTATACAAGAACAGAACAAAGATTGCTAGAGGTTTCAAAATCTTAAGTTTACACCAATACTTCACTCAGTCAAGATCCCATACTCTCTATTGCTAGGAAAGGATAAATTATTGCTTTGAATCACATAGCATTATGATAAAGGTAACTCATACATCTCACTTAAGACTAATTATTTTCTCAAAGGCTTTAAACTGCTTAAAATATGACAAGTATCCCAAAAATAAACACTGGCAGAAACAAGGCCAATCTTCACAACACAGCAAACACAACTGCCATAGGCAGCTGGGTTTAGGCGCCAGCCATCCCAAGAATCTTACACAGAAATATTAGGAAAGCAGTGATTTGGAGTAATACCTTATATGACAGAAACAGAAAGCATACAATCAGTTTTTATCTCTTTACAAAGTAAAGTCACCGGGAAGGCTTAGGCAAAAAAAGTAAATCCAAGCTGAGTCTGGCTTATACACCACGAGGCTCATACTCCATGTTAAGATACATGAAGCAGGGGCTGGGGTGAGGGACTGCAATCAAGAACCTTACTGACAGTCATTCACCAACTCACCACTAGGCTTTAAAAAAAATCAATGCAAAAGTTTGCAGAAACCAATTATGTGAAGAATACTAAGAAAAAGTATCGTCAAGAAAACCATGCGAGACAGCGGTTAAATCGGAGCGACGCATCTGACAATACTACTCTTTCTAAAAGCAGCTCAGAGTTTCATTAGAATGTATTCAGAGGATTAGTACCCAAAAAAAATATTCCTAGTCAACTCAAAGCATTAACACACACAGCAAGCAAAACACAGAGCTGCAGAAAGTAAATGTTTGAAGATCAAAAGGCTCACAGGGAAGTTTGTGTCAAAAACACACAAAAAATTCATTTGGGGAAAGACAGGTCCGGCAGCCACCCAGGGCCAAGCTAAATTAAGAAAAAAACCACAAAAAACCCTGATCTAACAGCTAACCAGTCAAGCCTACACCCCTTCTGCCAGGCTTTTCCAGGGTTTCCTAAAGCTCTAAAGCCAGCTCTCAAACTGTCAGCATCAGTGAAGACTCCTGGGCCTAGACACGAAGGCATTTAGCTGTCGGTTTGTTAGCCATTTCCCTAAATAGGATAGAGTAACAGGACTTTCACATTTCATCATTTCACTGATGTTAATTTCAAAACTTATATTCAGTGACAGAAGATTTCAGAGAGTCACTCTTTGCCAAATGACTTAAGGCCTTCCAGAAAATAGGTCACTGGAATTTGGAAATAAGAAAACCTTTCTCAGAGCAACACACCAGTGTTCCTATCAACACAGTGCTCCTACACTCACCCTTCCAACTCTAATTTTAATTTTTAATCAAGAATGAAAATCCCTGCTATGGGCCATAGGCTTTTCAACTCTAGTACACCGTTCCATCTACGTGCAGTTGTACGTCGCTGTCACTAAGCCACAGACCACTGCTACTTCCCCCCTTTCCACTGACAATCCCTGCAAGGAGAAATCTGTGTCCCACTACTAAGACAAGACATTCACATAGTACAGAAGTGAATCCTGCTGACTCCCACTACTACGACAATACACACACGTAGTACAGAAATCAATCCTACCGACTCCCCAGAGACAGGTGCCTCTTTCCTCTGGCAGCACTAAGGAAGGAGCTAAAGGTTTCCCTCCGGCCCCTTCAGAGCAACTGGAACTCCCCCAGGTAAAAATCACAGCTATCAAGTTGTTCAAATTAGTCCTTCTGCCTTTAGTTACACCAATGAGAACAAATTCAGTACGAACGATGGCAGACACTCACACTGAGTATCACCAACTCCTGGAAACACAGGAAAATCTGTGTGAGCATTTGGTTTAAGACCTCCCTGCCTTAGAGTGATTTTGCTTAACATGGCATTCTGGAAAGACTCAAGGAAGCCAGTATCATTCAACCTTTAACCTTTTCTGTGGTTTTTTAGACAGACTTTCCTCAAGGCTTTCCTAAACAAAGGTGTATTTTAAAAACTGGTTGTCACTATTTAACCAGTGGCATTTTTGCAGGCCTGCAGCAGTGTCTCCCTTTTGGCTACAACAGGGATGCTCTGCAATCCAGTTATGAAATGTCCTTCCCTTCAGCTGCTCTTCATTATCGTGGAAAACAGATCACGGTCACGTGCTCAGCTGTTTGTAGCAGTGACAAGGACAGCCACATACACCACAGCGCCCCTCCCGAAATCTCACCTGGGTCACAGCGATCAATCTAACTACACACACGCGATGGGACGCCGCCTTTGCCATCATCCTCTCACCAAGCACATACACTCGTGCCGCTTCCACACTGTCCGGCCTTTCCGTCCCGCTGAAGCGCTCACCCCTGTAAAGGCGCTCCTCCCCACACCCCCCATGCTACACAGTGTGCTGCAGACAGCTCGAGCCCAGACTCTGCTCCCTAAGTCCCAGCAGTCACCAGATCTATGCAAGCTCTCCTCCCTTCAGCGACCAGCTCGGGCTGGGAGCCCCCAGTTCACAGTGGTCCTTGCTCAGCTCACCTCAGCCAGCTTTTCAGCCAAGAGAACCGTTTTCCTCTCTATTCCCAGCATTTTTCAGATGCTGAAATGCAAGTTCTATTCAAAAAGTATAAAAGGTAACCTACATAGCCTGGGAAGCATGCCAAAACATCGAGAGCACTGTCAGGATGATCAAGCCATCATTAATTATTACTAAAGTGAGATCAAAACCAGAGTCAACCCATTTTAAAAACGTGCTTTTTCCCCCAGAGGGGTCTCGCTCAACAACCTGCCAATTAATCAGACTTCGAACCCAAATGCTGCTCCCTGCCCACTCCTGGGGACACCAACACTTTCCACCGAAGCTGGCCAGGTCTGGAGCCAAGCAGGCAGGGGTACGCTGCCTTCACCCTTGGCGGGAGGACACAAGATACTCCTTCAGCTCCAAGCTGGACCAACAGCTACACTGCGCCTGGCTTGCCAACAGACCAAGAGTTTGTTTGCATCTGCCTGCCTAAGACCATGTAAGACACCTCCTGAACAATGTGAGAATTTTGAGTTTGAAAATACTGATCTTTAAAAAGATGATGGGGGACAGTCTTAGCTACTGAAGACTTTCTACTCTGCTGCAGTTTCCAGTGAGCCAAACAGAACCACCAGCAACTCTCACCCCTCTGGTCAGTCACCAGGCAAGGCTCAGACCTGTCTGCTACTGCAAAGACACAAGTGTTTGTACTGGTATCACACGCAGATACGTGATGTGCAGTTTATATATGGAGTTGAAATACATAAAATTGAGTTTCTCAACTTTATGTTCAGTATCTTTAATTAGCTGCTGATTACAGTGCTTTATTACCAAGAGGAAGTACAATACTGCATTTAGATTTTTGAGTTATTCAAAGGAATACTGCAGTAGAGGAGCACGTGAAGTATTTTAAGTAATGCTTGCTGAAGGTAAACTGCAGCATCCCACGTTACGTACATTGTCTAAATCCCCTTCCCCAAGAATCCCAAGGTATTGTGCAGCACCCTACACTAAGCCCAAAAATGTTACCACCACATATTTTTGCATTTGCCAGACAGACAATATTTGATTTTCTAAAAAAGTCCATTTAGATTTCTTTAAAAAAGGTATTTCACTGTCCACCTTGAATTAGCTTAATATCTATACTCTGCATTTTCCAGAGGAAAGTCTGTATTAAAAGTTACAGGTATTGACTACCCAAAATACTGTCTCAACTGTTCTTATCAC